GCCACAGCACAGCCCCCGGACCCTGCTCGCTGAGTTAAGTGCTCACCAGGAGGCATTTGTTCCCAAATCTGTTTGTGTGGTAGTCTCGTTACTGTAATTGGCATAATTTAATTAAATGGATGAAAACTGATGAAACGTGTGTGCTAAAACAGAGAGAGCCGCCGTTTCTGTGAAAACCTTTGGAAAGACTCCATAACGACAAATTACCATCAGATTGGGTAGAAATGAGGCAATTATAAAAGATTAGGGGAAAATCATAAAAATATGGGCAGCGTTCGGATTCTGCTTTCACATGACTTCACTCGCGTCTTTAAGTTTTCACTCTTTCTTAAAGAGAGCGACCCTGGGAATCTTCGACCTTGAATTCTGGGTGTTATGTGCGCATGGGAGACAGTGAGAAACTCATCACTGGACCCTACTCAAAGGAAAGGCCCTGGACTATGTTACAACACTTGCAAATAAGTGTACTTCCAGTGTTTGCTAAATTAAAAATGTTAAAGATATGCATTTTTTATGATTCCTCATTTTAGCTAACTTTTGTTGATTAACTGAGGAATTACTGATCCCAGGTGTGCCACCTAAATGAGCCTCTCCTGCCCTTGGGGAGTATGGAATTAGGGGCCTCGCTTTTACATTTGTCAAATAATGGGGAGTATTCGTGTTGTCGAAGAGCCCGGTACCCTCCAAATCGATGGTTAGTACAGAATGTTTAAATATGACTCTGTTGATACCCGATTTTTGCCAGTTAGCTCAGTTTGCATTCTTGTAAGGTATTTACAGTTGTTAACCTAACCTAGTTTCAGAATAATTGGTTTTTAAGGCCTGTTCTTTAAGTATCCTTCCATGCTTTCACGTGACTTTATTTTAAGACACTGTTTCTAGGTTTCTGGTCTCCATTGGAAATACAGAGGTGATCAATCATACTCTTGCTCTCTAAGGAGACCTTGACCCACAGGCAGAACATTTTAGTGCTCATTTAAAAAAAAAAAGTCTTTATTGATTTCAGAGAGAGGAAAGGAGAGGGAGAGAGAGAAACATCAATGATGAGAGGGTCGCCGATCAGCTGCCTCCTGCATGCCCCACACTGGGGATCAAGCCTGCAACCCATGTGTCCTGACTGGGAATCGAACCGAGATCTCCTGGATCCTAGGTTGATGCTTAACTGCTGAGCCATGTAGGCCGGGCTTTAGTGCTCATTTTTGATGCCTATGTTTTCCCCCTCTATTAAAATAGTGCCTTTAAATTCATGTTTATCAACATGTAGACTCTGCTTAATATCACTTCTCCTTTAGGAAACTTTCCCTCATTAATGACACTACAAACCCAAAACGTTGTATCAGTACTCTAGGTCAAAGCTCACTTCAAGAATCACTGCTTCTGCACTGGAATTTTGTATCCAAAAGTGGGCCAGGTTTGGCCAGCCACGTACCACACACCACAGGACTGACTGG